GTTCGCCCAAGTTTTAACGATCAACAGTGTGGCCCTGATGCACTAATGTTTAAATAACTAATTACTAAACTCTCAAGATGCTTGTACTAGGCAAGAAAGTCCAAGGCCAGCTCACTGCAGATATTCAGTAAAAGGCTATTTGAATTCAAAAGAATCAGAATGAGTCTAAATGACAACTAAAAAAGGCAAGTTTTCTTGAAATATATAAAAACAACCTGTTCTCTAATCTAAGCTAAAAACAACCTGTTCCCCCTTCCCAAATTATATATAAATTATAATCCTTATTTCTTTTCCTCCAGATGAAGCACTAATGGTTCCCACCACCAAAAAAAAACCTGTTAACTAAGTGATACAGAAAATGCTTGATATTCTAGTCCAGGACTCAAGCTTCTACAAATAAAGTTTTATTAGAACAGAGCCACACCCATTCACTTACATATTACATGTGGCTGCTTCTGTGATACAATGACCCACACTAGCTGATTATTTGCAAGAAAATCATATGGTTTGCAAGCCTAAAATATTTACCTATTTTGACTTTAAGAAAAAATACTGCTGACCCCTGATCTTATGAAGCAAGCACTGGCTAGGAAATCAGAGAGATCTACATTGAAATCCCAGTTCCATAATCACTAGCAGAAATTACTTGGTATTTCTGGGTCTCAGTTACCTATTGTATAAAATCAGGACAGCACCATCTGCTCTGCACGTGTATTACACAGACTAACTGAGGCAAGAGATAAAATGCCTAACACAGCAAGTAAGCAATAGGTAATAGCTTTTAAACCACAATCAATATAACTTAGAAATGTATCTGCCATATTAAGAAATACTCAAACGCAAAATGATTGAAGCACTAGTGAAATATAAGACAATGGGCTAACATTCATTTCCCTTACCTTCTAAAGAATAACAAGAACACTATTGTTCTTGAAGTAAGGCCAAAATTACTTCACTTTTTTCCTCAATCAACAAAACAAAACAAAACACCAAAACAAGAAGTCAAACTCCAAAGCTTAGTTAAAGCTAATACCTTCTGGTTTTTGGGATTTTTCTTGGTACCAGGGATCAAACTCGCAACCCCTGGCCCATGTTCATCCTATTTTAAGTGTTAAATAGAACCTAACATGTAGCTCAGACTCTGAATAAGAAATCTTAATCTATTATTAAGAAAAAAAGGAAGAGCCTAAAATGTTTTCAATTTTGATAAGACAACCGGCAATACTTGCTAAGTTCCTAAAATCACTCGTGTAACCAGTATTTGTTGAGTATCTAGCATACCATGCTTCAGGATCTGGGCTCCAGCTGTAACAAGGCAGTTGTCTCCATACAGAGAGAACTTACAAATTGGAGCCTGCTCAGCAACGTGTAAGATTATAATCATAATACATGGCCCTTTGATTGCAAAACCATCTGCGTTAAGAGTCATGTAAGTTAGTATAGCTTGACAGCTCACAAGTTAACCCTCATCTAATCTGCACTGCACTAACAGGATAACTGAATTGTCTATGTTTATAAGCAAGCTGGTAGTGTCTTCATGACTTGACTTGGCATTAAAGTCTTTCCATAAGAACTACTTCTCAAAAGGACAAGTCTGAATCTTTCATTTCTTTATGACTATACAAAAGATATTTTGCAAAAAAGTACCCAATCTTCAATGTAGACGACTACATGGTCACTTCTTGAATGCAGAACTGCTGCAACATTAATTAAATGGAGTCTTATTTCCATATACTGATATGTACAGAGCTGATGATGGTATATCTTTCTCTCTTCAACTGGCTCTAAACAATGCAAGTAAGGCCAGCTGAAGAATCTTTGGGGCCATTCTGACAGTCTCCTGTTTCCTGGCATAGTGCTCTCTGTAAAAGATATGAGCACATTGGGATGGCAGCCAGTCAGCTCCAGCAATGTCAACTGGGTACCAGCCTTGATAAAAAGGGCTGTGAATGCTCAGAGCACAAAAATTTACATATCAGAAACTGAAGCAACAGATTCCCAAAACAATTCAGGTGCTACCTTACTTGAATTATGCAGACTGATCCTTCTGCATGTTATTCTACCTGCATTTTGCAAAGACATTTTTCTCCCTGTCTAAACAGCTCAAGTTATTCACGTACTTTCCGCCATCCTCACTGCCACTCATCCTCGAGTCACCCCCTTCTTCATAAGATAATAACTTCTGGGAGAGGCCTTGGATCAGGGCCTTTGTTCACAGATCCTCACTGGGATCAGGCTTAGGACCCCTTGGCTGCCTTCAACTTGAAATACGTTGGGGTCTTTACTCTCACTGTGGGTTGCACTGGAGGTAGAAGATTGGAATTAACGTGCCAGGATTCCACTAATGTCTCAATGGGATTACAAATATAACTTTTTGGATTGTGAGGAAAACTGGAAAAGGGATTATAATACTTGGTTTATAATACTCAATATTTGAGATTACAATATTCAAAGCCCTGAATTCTTGAATTCCTCTGGGCAGTATCACTCCTTTCTTCTGCTTCCCACAGAATGCCATATATTTCTATTATTGCATACACTACTCCTGTATTGTACTGCAACTGTTTGCTCATTTATCAGTCCCACCACCAATGGCTATGAGCTCCTTGAAGATAGGAACTGTGTATTAATAGCAATTACTAATATGTGAGTACTTAGTATTTGGCAGACTTGTGCTAACTTAAAGCCATTCTCTTTCATACTACTCATAATAATTATCCCAACATTACAGAAGGGGAAACTGAGGCCTGAAAATGTTAGAAAAGCTAACAGTGAAGCAGAGTGTACAGATTATTAATTAACATCCATATTACCTCAGTTCTATCCCCAAACTAATCCTTCACTTGGCCAAATACCCATGCATGGGAGGCTGTCACTCTTCTTGACACCAACAGGTCAAGTGGTGCAATGAAACGCAATCCTGGACATTCACTGTATTTTCCAGTGGTGCTGGAGCAGGCACACAAAGCCATGTGATGCACAAAACATCTGCTGGGAGGTTCTGAGAAAGATTTTCTCCCAAATAAAAGACACAAGTAGATACTCTTCTTCCTTAAAAATTTCCTCAACTACTACTCGGTTTATCTGAGCTATTAAATTTCCTTTTAGCAATTTTAAGTCAGTTGAGTCTGTTTTCAGTTACTCTTAGCCAAAAGCATTTAATACATATATAGAAAAAGTAGTGAAACTGTAATTCAAACATAGACAAGATGACTTCACAGCCCTCAACAATGTAACGAATGAACTGTCTGTGACCATAACACTCCCACCATCCTGCCATGCCCATAATAAGTGCTTCTTAACTTAAGGAAAGTTAAGCTGAATGAAACAGAATTCAAACACAAATATGGTGAACTTTCTATCCAGTTATAAAAGAAATATTAAGACCTTAGGTTACACCCTTAATAATTATAAAGCCTCATTGCTCTTTAAATGAGACTGAAGTTTCTTGTTTTTGGAAAATGGCCTATGCTGGAGCCAATGAAGAAATCCTGTAAGTGCCAGGTTCCAAATCCAAAATTGCCAGATATGGTCAGACAAATCAGTAATCCCAGCACTCAGAAAGCTGAGAAAAAGAGGATCACCGTGAGTCATAAATCAGCCTGGGCTACACAGTGAGTTCAAGACATGAGCCTAAACTACATAGTGAGGTTCTGTCTCAAAAAACCAAACAAACAAAACCAACAATAAACAAAACAAGAAGTTCAAACCACTCTCGAGAAACTGAACTCAGTCTTCAAAATCACAAAAGATTCAGTTTCTGTCAGTCCCTTTTACAATGTCCAAAGGACCTAGTAGCAGCCACGCAAACTTCCTGCTCTTCTTCCCATCTCAATTCCTTCGGCAGAAGCTACTTTCTGGCCAAACTGAAAAAGAGCTAGAAAGAGGGGCTAACAGAGAAGGGGACACAGAGAAAGAGACTTCTTCAGCATTTCAAGTTACATCTGGTTTTCATTCAAAAATTCAGTCTTTGGTATGTTACACAGCTTTCCTATTACTGAAACAAAATACCTAATGCCTGCAACTTAACAGAGGTATATTGGTTTACAAGGCTCGTGGTTTCAGAGATTTCAGACTGCAGTAAAAAGATGTTTCAAAGCAATAACATCATGCAGAGGTGCATATCAAAGCAAAGCTTCTCACCTCATGGTGGTCAGAAGCACAGAGACGAAAAAGGGAAGAACCAGAGAAATAGGACAGGGACCAGAGATAAGAACATACCCTACCAGGTCACGTCCCAAGAGAATCACTTTGTTCAGCTAGGTACCAGTTACCTATGAACTCATCAGTGAATTACACTACTGATGAGTTCAGTACACCCATGATCCATCCAATCAACTGTTAAGAACTGTACCTCTGAAAACATGAGCCTCTGAGGAGACATTTTAGATTAAACCATAACAAACAGTAACATGGGCAACCTTCACAGCTCATTTGGGCCATGACATGCCAGTCCCACCCTCCACCCACCACTTCACTCCGCATCAAGGGCACAGGAAAAACTTCATCCTTAAAACCTGAAGGAGAATCTCTATGCCATTACCCACAGGTCCCAGAATAATACTTAACAACCTACACCATTTCTAGCCAGTTACCAGCAGACCTCAAAACAGTGACCTGAAAGTGAAAAGTTCCAGATCCTATTGCCAATTTGCTTCCTGAAAAAAAAAAAAATCAGTGACAATTCTTATTAATGATCCACGCATTGCAAGACACAGTAGAATTAAATTCAAGGCTGTATGTGTTTGTACATTTCCAACATAAGACCTCTCTTTATCTCCTTACTTGGCCTTCTCACAAAGGGTTTAAGGGTAAGGATTATTTTATTTCTGGCTAAAAACAAAAACAAAAAAAGTCTCCAAAAACCACAACCTGTGCGAGCATCTTACTGAAGCCAAGGAATCGTACTTATTGCTCACTTAGGACCCTTTTATAATAGACAGTTTTGGTGTAGCATGGCAGCCCAGACATCTTTCAAAAGTGCACAAAGCACAGCTTACCTTATAATTGCTTGAGTTCACCCAAGAGGTAGCGAGTCCATCCACAAGCTTATCTAACATGGTCTGGTCATGCTCAAGGTCAGCAGACTTCTGTTTATCTGAGAAATAGTCTATAAGTTCTTGACCAACCTGCAGTCGTTTCCCCACATCCTTTTGTAATACCTGAGCCAGGCAAGACTCCATGCGAGGCTCCATGGTAGAATTCAAATCCAGATCCAGCAAAAGCTAGAGGGCAGTCAGGATGCCTCCCTCCTGGTAGCCGTTCCAGGGAGGCCGCCTCTTTGTTTGCTGAAGGTTACTAAGAGCCTGTGTTTCAAAGATGCAATCCGGGGAATGGTAACAATGCACCATGTGTGTCTGAAGAGCAGCTGGTAGGATATTAAAAGTCCAATTTAAATAACTAGTAGGAGATAAAGGAGTGAGTGGCAGAGTGATGTTCTACTAGGTCTGAAATACTTCATATTTTTCAGCAGTCCATTCTGAAAAATAAGAGAGGAAAACAAGGGATCAGCACAGATAACATAAAGTTCAAATGTTACAAAACATTAAATTAACAAAAAAGCAACTCATGCTGTAGATTCATTCATAAACACATGTGGAGTGGGAAGCATGAACACTTGGCAACCATACTGGACTAACATAATTATTACATTTATCAAGAGCCCAAAGAAAAGCGCCAACGAGCTATATAGTTGACAGGCTGATATTTTCACAATCTCCTAGCTTGCAAATGCACCAAACAGAAAGCAATGTTCTGCTTTAGCTAGCATGTTTATTTGTAACTTTAATTCTGCTTCCCTTCAAACATATAATACCACTCTGTATCTGAACCACTTGGCACTTATTGCCTTACTCTCAGCCTCCCAAAAAAATTTCCTAAAACTAGAAATGGGCAAGGTCCATAAAAACACCACTGAGCATAACGGCCATCTGGGTCACATTAGTCAAAGAGAGCGCCTAAATCATTTTTTTCTCCACAGCTTTATGTAGGTAAGAAGCCCCTGCTACCTGCTCCTCCTCCTCCAAAGAAGAAAGAGACAAAAGGAGAAAAAAATAACAGATTCACTCACGTTTTGATTAGTGACTGACTGCCACAATATTGAAGGCCAACGATTGCACCATTTGGGCCTTCTATTTTGATACAAAATCAGATCTCAAAATCATGGCTGGGTAGTACAAAACACAATATGGACAAAGTATCAAAATTATGGTGGTTGGGGGGGGACGTTTTTGTTTGTTTTTGTGTGTTTGTGATACTGGGTGACCAAACCCAGGACCCTGTGTATGCTAAGTGTTCTACCAATGAGCTAAGTCCAAGTCCTCAAAACTCCCTTACACAAATTATACAAGCTATGTAGCCAACCTACAGGTGCTAGAATAGTATACATGCATTTCTTACTTCGACTTCTTCTCTTCTAAAATCATGACTTAGTCCCTTTCATTGTAAACTACTAAGACCCATATGCTAGGCAAATACTTTATCACCAAGTTACATTAATAGCACCTATGCTTCTTGAAGGTAACTGTACCATAATAAAGGCTTAGCTGGGGCTGGGGATTTAGCTCAGCGGCATAAGCGCCTGCCTTGCAAGCAGACAGTCGTGAGTTCAATCCCCGGTACCGATAAAAAAGAAAAGACAAAAAAATAAAATAAAATAAAGGTTTAGCTAAAGTAGGTCATAAATTCATATACACAAAACTTATAAAATAACAGACTGGAAACCTCACACATCAAGCAGAGAGGATTCTCATTTTCTCTCTCCCTCAAAAAAAGTAATACTTGTCTTTTACACTTACTTTTACTAAGCTACTTTTGGGGGTACCTCTTTCACACTTTTGAGTGTTTTCTCTATTTCTACTGTCAAAGATATTCAGGGAACAGGTATTAACATAGTTCCAAATTTACAAAGCAGAATTCAAGACCTTCTTCTCACTCTTCTCCCCATCCCCTTCCTTCAAAGCAGGTATTATCTATCACTAGTCCCCTATATATCTTTCAGTAATATTATTTAGTTACGCAAGCAAGTAATACTTTTATACGTTCTCTCCTCTCTGTAATGCCCTAGGACATTATCTAAGCATTTACAATTAAATCACAAAAGTAGAAATCAGCAATAAGCAAAAGTTCATATAGAAACAATTTTATAAAAAAAAAATCTCATGTTTAAAAATGCTGAAAACTTGAGCCAGATGTAGCAGCATCCACTGTAACCCCTATTCTACTGCAGAACCTCACTCCTTCCTGCGCCCTCCCTTTCATTTCTTAGTGGCTTCCACACCCAGGTAGATGACCATCACCCGCTCTTGGCCACCTCTTCAGAACTTTAACCTTTACCCTTCCAGTCATTTGCTGTCAACATCAGCAATCTCTCCTCTACTGGCTGATTTCCAGTCACCTGTAAATGTCCTCTAAATCACCCACCTTTGAAAGGCCCTCCTTGAGCGCACATCTTTCATCAATGACACTGTCAACAATGAAGTGTCTCTAGGCAGTTGTCATACCAGCAGCTCCACTCATGCATACCTTAACCTTCCAGTCCAGTTTCCCCAACTCTTCACAACTACGAGGTACACTTGTAGGGATCCCCAGGGACAGCCTTATTGGCAACATTAAGATTTCTTTGCTTCTAAATAATTCCACCTCAGCAGCATTTCAAAGCTGATCACCCTTTCTTCCTTGTAAAATTGCTCACTTCTAGGAAAACAAGTCATGCTGTCCTGCCACTTCTCTGGCTGTACCTACTCAAGAAACTTTAACCATCTCTCACTACTCATAAGAAACTCTGCTTGTAAACTACCCAGCAGTGCTAAACACTAGAAACAACTCTCAAAAAGCCTGGAAATTACCAGTCAGGCATGGAACTGAAAGGCTGGACTGATACAGGGCCCAAAAGCCAATTTCTAGAACCAAAAGTAATAGCACTTTGGCCTTTCAGGGAACTCTGTACAAGTCTTCTTTAAACTGCAGAGCCAGGACATAGTTAGGCATATAATTATTTATTCTGAAAAGGAGATTAAAACCCACAAATAGAAGAGATTAGTTTTAATGTTCGATTGCCCAGTAGGGTGAATATAGGTGAAAATAAGTATGTTCACAATTTAAGAAAATGTTTTTATCTCCCAAAAAAGAGAAATGTTTGAGTTAGATTTATTCACCTTGATTTGAACATCATAAAATGTAAACATGTATCATAACTTATGTTACTCTATAAAGACATAATTTTCATGTATCAATAAAAATAATATTTTTAAAAGCTGGAATTACTCAAATGAAAACAATGTTTTGCAATAGAGGGGAAAACTCAAAGTTAAAATAACTCCAGGAATAAAGTCACTCCAATGTGCACAAATTACAGTGTAACTGTGACAAAATACACTATAAATGCTCATAAATAAAAGGTTCAAGCTCACTATAGTACACTAAAAAGGTAGATCACATAAACAAGAAAAAAAAGCATTAAAGTTGATTATTCTCTGGCCAAGATTATAGATTAATTAATCTTTGTGCTTCTCTATATAGATTCTAAATTTTTTCTACAATGAATACATGTTACTTTTATAACTACAAATAAAACATTATTCAAAAATCAGACACTACTACTTCACAATGGATGAAAATCTGCCTTTCAATATTTTGGAATGGAATGTATACCTATTACTAAAGTGTAAACTGAGAAAAAGCCTTAAATTCCTAAGAAAACAGAGCTAGTGGATCAGTTAGCTAAAAGTGGAAAAAGAAAAAGGGAAGATATACACAGGTATCAGGTAAGATATTCAAAATGGTTAGTACTTGCCTTCACTAATATCTTAATGAAGAAATTTTTAAGTCCTTTCAGATATTTTAAATATTTATTTTCTAAATGTGCATTGTAAAAATAGAAAAAATTTAACTTCTGTGTTCTCGGGTCAAAATAAAGTACCTTTAATGTACTTTATTATATATATATTATTACAGTATATAATAATATAATGTAGGAGCTGATTCTACCTGTTCCCTACAGCTCATGACCCACTCTGAGACGAGTAAGTCAGATGTGCACTAAAACTGCTGAAGCCCCATGATGGGGCCAGGAGGGTTCTATTATTCTCTTTGCTTTGTATGTGTTCAAAATCATCCATAACTTTAAGGTTTTTATAACACTCTTTAAAAAAATTTTATGTGAGAAAATTATGATAATAAAAACATAACTTAAACTGGAAGTGATGGTGCACACCTATCATCCCAGCTACTCAGGAGTCCCACAGGATTATAACAAGTTCAAGGCCAGGGGGGCAGCTTATAGAGATCTGATCTCAAAATAAAAATTTAAAAAAATAAATCTGAAGGGCCAGAGATGTTACTCAATGTAAGGGCCTGACTTTAATTCCCAGTAGCACCAAAAAAGGGGGAGTTAAAAATTTTTTTTAAAATAACCAAAATAGGTCAACCTAAACTACATAGTGTGACCTTGCCCCCATCAAGAAAGCACATTATGTATAAATCTTACTCAAAAACAAAAATAAAGTGTGTAAAATAAATAAAGGACAGTTTGAGTAATATGTTTCTGAGTGCTTTCTCTATTTAAATTTCTTCTGTTTGTATTTCCTAAACAGAAGGAATAAAGGATACAGGACTCCAAACTAGAACAGCAGTTACTTAACAATGACAGTCTTATTAAGCCAAAGCAAAAGCTTTATACTATTTTTATTCTCCCAATGCAAAAATATAAGCATAAACATAAGGCTGATATAATCAGTACATTGATTTGTTACATTACCTAGGCTGTTAACCCTGGTGGGAAAAATAATAAAGTAGATTACAAGTACCCAAAGAAGGCCCGCCATGGAGATGAGACAGCCCAGCAGAGAACCAGTTTTTTATGAGGGAAGCAGCATCACAAACAGGCTACGGTCAACATGCTGGCTCCTCTACCAAGAGCAAACCTCTGTTTCCACTCAAATCTATGAATGCTTTACTTCCGCTGTGTCTCACAGAGAGCTTCACTTACAGCTTCCTATTCGTGGCTGGTTTTTCCCCTTTTCTGTTTACTAAAACATGGGGTAACTGAATCTGAATGGCTTCTTACATTTTCTAGTAACAGCTTTACCACATATCATAAACCATTAAAATCATCCTTAAGTCAGCAGTTTTATTACATTCAAAATTGTACAACTATCACCACTAATTCAATCATCATTCAATCAAAATGATACCTCATATTTTTCAGCAGTCACTCCCATAATTCTTTCTTGAAGCCTATGAAACAAATAGTCTTTGAAATTATTTGGCTGTTTGGGACATTACCTATAAATGAAGCTATAAAATATGTGGTCTTTCTGGTCTAGCACCTTTCACACAGCACACTTGTTTTCAAGGTTTTCCCATATTGCAGTATGTATCTGTACTTTTCGCTTTCTGTAGCTAAATAATACTCCATTGATTAGATATTTCACATATTGCTTACTGGTTGATGAATATCTGGGCTATTTCTGCCTCTCG